CTTCCCTAGGAGAGAGAGATATATAGAGATATAGAGATAGAGATAATCCATCCTTTCCTTTGCACCTGAAACTTTGGGGCAGGGAGAACCCAGAAGACATCTTTCTCCAGATTCCAGAGCTGGTCCAGTCTACAGTATTTGCCTTGTTCATCTCTCTTTTTCATCACCTTCCCTTTTTTTTGTAAAAGAAGCACTACTGGCAATTATTAAGGTATTTTGAGTGAGCACAGTACCTTGTTGCCCTTGGTTACATAGAAAGAAAAAAAAGGTAAGGGGGGGGACCAGATTCACGTCCCACTGGACTGCTATGCCAATATGACGCAAATCATTCCATCCACAGGCCAAGTTTGGAAAGATGAAAAAGGCAAAAGCTAACACTTCTCGGAACACAGAAGTCCAATCCAGAGACAAAAGCTGGCCAATTCTAAAGAGCTAGACTATTCCAAAACTCAGCCACTTGAGATGCTGGGAGCTACTTTGTCACCTTCATCCCTGCCATTTTGCATCCAACAACAGAAAAAAAAGGAGAATTTGCTACAGAACCTTTCACTGTTATTGTTATGGGCCATAAAGTCACTTCTGACTTATGTTGACCCTAGTAGGGGTTGCGAGGTATTTTAGATGTCCAGAGAGTGGTTTACTATTGCCGCCCTCCACCCCCTGAGAGTTTCCATGGCCAAGCAGGGATTTGAACCCAGATCTCCTTGGTCCTAATCCGGCATTCTATCTGCCGCACCATTGGTAGCTCTTGCTCCCAGTAGGAACCTTGGGTTTTAGAAATGAAAAACAAGACATGCCCAAGTTTTAGGGTTGAGGCCAACTACTTGAGAAGAAGCAGGCAGAATGTGCAAGTAGAAGGCCATGGTTGTCAAAGTACAGCTTAGAATCCAGCGCCTGTATCGTCACCAGTGGGGAGTGCAAAAATTCCTTTGCCTCCCCTGTCCATGCAGTCATTAAAAGTTATACATAGTGATCTGACTTCTTGTTCCGAAGCCTCCTTGCAGTAGTTCTGTGCTGCAGCAGACAATTTATCATTTAAAATAAACACTCTGGTAGAGAGGCCAGGTAAGTGGCAGGAAAGAAGATATTCCACTCTGAATAGCACCCTACATTTCAAAATCCATATTACAGCAATACCAAAGGCAATGCTCTTTTCACTTGTTTCTTATACTTTTATCCCAGTTTTCCTGCCAGAAAGTTCAAGTGGCCCTAGATGGGTCTTCACAAGAACCCTGTAAGGTAGGCTCTGCTGAGACAGTGACTGACCCAAGGGGACCCAGAAAAATTCATGGTCAAATGGGAACTTAAAACCAGGTTTTCCCAGGACAAATTCAATATCTAAGGACGACAGGACACTGGATCGCTTTTAAAGCAAGATTTCTTTGAAAACACACAATGACTTCATTCCTCCTGCAGGCATTGAGCCAAGACGACTGCCTCCGAGTATCTTCCAGACTTCTCCTCCGGAAAAGAATAGACCTGGGATGTTGGACAAAATGTTGTTGTTTTAAATGAACCTGCCATCCAGATGGGCTTGGTTTATTAATATTTCATGGTGCCATGAGGCAAGCTACACCTACGTTCATTTTTATTTTTAAACAAGACACCCTTGGTCCAATTATAGATTAATCACATCCATGTGTTTTTTGCAAGCATACATCACTCGCCTGCTCCTGACAAAGAGGAATTCACTAGTCATTAATGGGCCACTGTTTCTTAGAACCGGCTCAATCACAAGTGTATCTTGGTGAGAGGGGGGGAAAGAAGACCAGATACAAGTACATGTTATTTACACATGTAATATTGGGTCCTAGATTAATTCAAGTGTCTGTGGAGGCAAAACTATTGAAACTGAGGCTGTCTGACTTTGGGTACATCCTGAGAAGGCAGGATTCCCTGGAAAAGACAATAATGCTGGGAAAGATTGAAGGCAGCAGGAAAAGTGGAAGACCAAATGTGAGATAGACTGACTCCCTAAAGGAAGCCACAGAACTGGCTTTGCAAGAGCTGGGCAGGGCTGCTGAGGACAGGGCATTGTGGAGATCACTCATTTATGGAGTCACCAAAAATTGGGGGCTACTTGAATGCATATAAAAGTAACTATAACTCCTCATGTGGTATAGAATACCAGGCTGAAGCTTGAGCGATCCAGATTCAACTAAGAAACACAAAGGGGAATGACCTTTCTTACCCAATAATCCCTCACTCTGCCTTTGAAAGCCTCTCCCCAAGTTTAATTTGGCCCACATCCCCATCAGCATTATGGCTCCTTGACGGTTGGAAACCACCCAAGAAGAGGAGTCAAGCCAATCAGTTTGCCCCCAAAATCAGACCTGTTCCCAAACCCATCTGGACCAACATAGTGTGACCCCTCTCACAAATCACAGAGAATGTGTTCCTTGGATTTTTCTAAGCCTTGATGAATCTGAGCTGCCATGTTGTCGTTCGCCTCTATGAACTCTGCAGCCCAAGAAAGGGACACTTTGCTCCACAATTCGGATCTAAGGTCTCAACAAATAGCTCAGGATTTATAGGAGCCTTGAAGCTGAGACATAAAAATCTAACAAGCTGAAAACATGACCAGGTGTATAATATATTGGACTCCCTGCATATGTTCCCTACTGGGAGACAACCTGAGTGAGCGCTTATTCCAACCCTCCTATGACAAAATCATCTAAATCCACCTTAACAGGGTGGGAGAGATATTTTACAGTTCCCAAGCCATCAGGACTGCTTCTCCCTCTTCGTCAATTATGACAAGCCCTCTCTATGCTTGTCAGTTCCAAAACAAATAGACAACATATAATTTTGACAAGGGCTCAGAAAACAGCCCAGACACAACACCAATCCCCTCTCTTCAAGGGGAACACACAGAACCCATTAACAATTTCTTGCCAGTTCACTGGGCAAGTGGAGGCAATTTGAGAGAGCTGCATATATGTATCCTGCTATTAAGGAAAGGTCTACGAATGCAAACCATAGCTTGCCAGGGTGCTGGCACATTATCTGTGTGCAAAGTGGGTGCACTTTAGCAGAAGCAGTGAATTTAAATGAAATACATATATTTAGCATACATATATCCATAGTCTGGCCCATCTAAGCTAGGTGAACTAAGAATTCCTTGCTTAAACACACAGACACACAATGCTTCTCACTGGCCTTCACAGCCTTACAAAGAATATTAGCAGTGACTGGCTGGAAAAGCCAGGACACTTTGACAGGCTCCGCCCATGTTCCTGCTACATCTCCGTTGCGGCTCCACCTACGTCCACCATGATTCCATTCTAGCTCCACCCATGCGCTCCCATCCCGTTTCTATTCTGGCCCCATCCATAACCATTTCCAGGTTTCCATCTATCTATCTTCTCCCTGGCTGCTTAAGCGCTGCCTGGAAGAAATACAGGAAAAGTTGGAAAAGTTACTTTTTGGGGTGGGGGTACAATTCCAAAAACAACCAATGGGCATGGAATAAGCATAGAGAAAGGTATGAAGAAACACAGATCGAATATAAAGAGAGGAATACAAATAAACGTCTCTCGGAGAAGGGCACATAGATTGAGTTGCAGGTAAGACATTCCTATCTGTGGATATGCAAATGAGCAAAATTAGGTGCCATGCCAATTGAAAGATATGTCTTACATGGAAATTAATGCCTATTTCCATGTCCCTCTTTCTAAATGCACTCATTTCTGGTACACAGGTTCCTCATAATCTGATGTCCTAGGCTGCAACGTACCTAGCCTGCACCTAAATCCAGAACTGGCTGGAGGAGTAGGGGCCACCTTCCTATCTCCAACCATCATCAAAAGCCTTAGGTTAAGCCATAGCATCTGCTTTGCACATCATGGAGCCTAGGCATATATAAATATGCACATTCCACAAAGTGGAAAGTTGCATAGAATGAATGAGCGTTAACCTCTCCAGATGAGAGATGCCAGAGAGCTGTAATCTGCAGTCATATGAAGTGGCCTTCGTCTCTCCTCTTTAAAGTCCTTATATTTCTTTGTGAGATTGGAATTTCACTGAAAAGAGCTCAAGAAACGGAAAACATTAAATTCTGGCCTTGCAGATTAACAGAGAGAGTGAGAGCGCTCACGCAAAGAATCACACACAGGGAAAATGCCTTTTCTCTTTTTTTTACAAAGAGTTCAGATGAGCTTTGTTTCCTTTCAAAAGGGCTTAAGTGGCACATCTTGAGTTTTAAAAACTTTCCAACAGATACAAAATGATGAGATCATAAAGCTTGGAGGAGACACACAGACACACCCCTCAGTAATAGGATAAATATTTTTAATACAGTATGTGAGAGACTTTGTTTCATTAAAAGAGCAGGGAGGTAACTGGATACAGAAAGGCAACAAGTAACTACATTGCTTGATTCCCATAAACTCTCCCTGTTCCCCTCTTACATCCTTGCAATAATCCTCTGAGGAAGGATATGCTAAGATGGAATAAATGGACTCTGATTGTCCGCTATGAGCTCAAGAGAGAATGTCAACCTAGATCTCTCAGCACAATGCCCTACTCACACAATCTTGCTATATAACCTTGCTTTCTAACCTTGGGTCTTCCCAGATGTTCTTGGACAAAAACTCCCAGCAGCCTTCATCACTAGCTGGGCTGGCCAAGATTTCAGAGAGTTGCAGTCCAGGAACATCTGGGGACCCAAAGCAGGGAAGCACTGCTCTATTATGATCGACACATTGGCATTGAAAACAACACAGGGATCGTGAGAATCGCAATCACTATTAGCAGACTGTTACTAAAGAGAATTCTTTCTTCTTTTTTCTCTCCTTTCTGGCTGGCAGCAGATGGGGAACTGGTTTACTCTGAGCCGCTCTATCCATGCAGGAGGGAGGATGGGGAAGAGATGCAAGGGAATCACTAGGTCAAGGGGTGGTTCCTGCAGGAGGTATCCGCTGCCAGAGCCTGGCCGATGAGCATGTGATATGGCAAAAAGTCAACTGCTTTGGAATACGATTAGTTCTTTTGCAACTTACCATCCTGAGTGGTTGGTGGTGGCTGGGGAAAATAGTTCACCGGTTTGTCTGCAAAAGAAAAGAAAAGCATCTATGAATACCGGAAATTAGCCATTTCTTGCTAGGAAAGTGTCAGCTGGTTTTCTTTGGGAGCCAGTGGTTTTATACCTCGCTCTAATCTGGAGGAAATGACTGGGGCACAGGTTGGTGCCCAAACAATTCTTCTCGGACCTGCAGTACAAAAAACGTAACTTGCCCAAATTCTAACTAGAGCCCATCCCATTATACATATCAAAGTGAACTCCACAGCCCACTCAAGAACTTGGAAACCCTGACGTGACACAGGTTTTACCAGCATGTGAGTCGTCCTCTGTGATTTCCAGTGATCACTTTTCCATTCAAACCACTGACTGCTGCAAGCTTTAAAACAAGGTTCGGCAACCTTTGGCCCTACAGATGTTACCAGGCTGCAACCCCCATCATGCCTCTTCATTCTCTAGGACTGTTCAGAGTTGCAGTCCAAGCCAGCAACGTCTGGAGGTCCACATGTTCCACTCACTCTCTGCCCCCCCATGTCTAAACAATATGCTCCCAGAACTTGCCAACAGGCTCACCCACAATGAGGACTGCCCCTTAGGTCTCTGCATGACTCACTGTTCTGGGCTCGTTTCATTCCCATCAGCCGCTACTTCAAGAGAAGAGAGGTAGTGCTGCCATGTCTTCTCAGCATATGTGACTGGATTATTCCACCCCAAAGGACAGGACTGCAGCAATAGCCACCTCCAAGGGAGGCTTACTGACAAACCAAGGAGGACTTCAAGAACAGTGACTCACGCAGAGGCAAGATCAGTCTCCCCTGAGACCAAGTCATTCTTGCTCTGAGAAGCAAAACCTTGTCAGGTGTCACATGCCACAAATTGCACGATACACAGAAAGGTTACTTGTTTGGAAAACAACAGAACAAAAGTTATCTCAAGCACAACTTGTCCTATTTTGGGAGCTAAGTGAGGACAGATCTTGTTAGCACATCAGTGGGACAGTAGGTACAGGAATCTACAGGCAGAGCTTGGATGGTGCCTCTCTTGCCTGCAGTAGCAGGGGACATCTCACTAAAAAAAGTAACTTTTCGAAGTCTAAGCATGGCAGCAACTGACCTCTTGAAAGCTGAACAAAGGCTTCCCCTGCCTTTTGGCCCCTGGTGTCCAGACCACAATCAGATCCTGACCTTTTGACACCCCCTCCCCCACAAAGGGATTGGGCTTCTCACAGTGTCAGGCAAGACAAGGTCAGGCTCCCAAAGGACCTGGTTTCCCCTCCTGTTGCATTCACACTTATTGAAATTAAAAGCAACCTCCGAAGGTCCTGAGACTCAACAAGATGAAAAAGCTTGCGAAAATTACTTTGTCTATAGCTCTGAACTGGAGGCCCAGAAAACTAGGCGGATGTTTGTTTGGAGATCCATTAGCTGAGTCCATGAAAAGCCAACAACATAAAATATATTTCTTTGTGGAAGGACTTGACAGAAGCTGCCCCCGGGCAAGTCAATCTATCACAGTCCCGCCTGACCCCAGCTGCAACACAAAATCAAACTATTTATTACCTATCGTAGGCGGGCTTCCCAAGACACAGATCCATCAAACCCATTTGAGTTGATTGGTGACCTGTGATCAAAAGGAAGCTAGCGCTTATTATCCCGTAAGGCAGAAGCACGTTGGTGGGGGTTGATGCCTGACAGGAGGTGGATAAACAGTGCTTAGAAGACTTCTAACTAACACTAGCACCAGCACCAAAAACGCAATTAAAAGAACAATAAAAAGAGTGCAGGATGGAGGGAATGCACAGTGACTTTTAAGCACCTGGTAGAACAGGGTGGAGAGCTTCAGTCAGTGTCAAGCAAGTCCTCAGAGGCCAGACTCCTCTGTGGTGGATGGGGCCAAAAAGATTAGCATATTGTGTTGTTACATGCCATCAAGTCACATCTAACTTAATGCAACCCTAATAGGGTTTTCAGGGAGTGATTTTACTTGTGACACACACAGGTAGTCCCCATGGCCAGGCAGAGATTCTCCAGACTCCTACTCTGTCACTCTGTCCATGACACCAGAGGTCCCCAACTCCTGGTCCACAGCCCGGTGTCGGTCCATGGCCTGAGCCGGACTGGGCCGCGGAGACAGACCTCCTCCGCACGCACTCCCACACACACAGCCCATCTGTGCCTGTGCCCACATGAGCGCTCCCCCGCCCCTTTGCACATGTGCATGAGTGCCCCTGAGCACCACACTGCCCTTCGCGCATACGCACAAGCCCGACAGGCCCCTGCTCCTTTGAGCATGTGCCAGAAGATGCACGCTCTTTCACACATACATGCAAGCACAGGGGTGTCCCGCCTTCGCCAGCCAGTCCAAGGGGCTAAAAAGGCTGAGGACCGCTGCACTTCACCATCCTGGCTTTCCACATTATAGCCTAAGGTTTTCACTAACTAAGCCTTAAGAAAGGCATTTGAACCTTTTAGAATGGGGGGAAAAAGCAAACCATACAGAACACTGAGAAACAACCAGAGGAGGCAGAAGACTAAATTCACTGCAGGGCCTGAGATTCCCAACCTCTGAACTAGAAAGAAGAGGTAAAGTCATGCCTGGACTATGAAAGTCAGATTTGGACACTGGACCGTATCTGTTTAAATCATTTCCTTCCAAACCAGCTTCAGCCATAGGCTAGAAAGCAAGCATCTCAGAATTAAAGCTGAGCTTTCTAAGTGAAAGGAGGACGGCGGTTCCCAAATATACGATTCTGTACCATTGCGCAAAGTGGTAGAGTTCAGAGAAACTTTACAGCTTGTTTCTGCTGAATGTATAAGCGGGACACAAAATGATACAGAACTCCAGGGAGGGTTTTTGGTAATGAAGGCGGGGGGGCGTGTCCCAGTTTTGTTTTCACACTGTAACCTAAAATACAGGCAAATAGAACAGAAAAACAGGGGGAACACAGATATCCATGTCTTGCATGGCCTTCCTTTTATGTCCGAACCCTGATTTATAGGATCGGGTTAAAATAAATTGCTTAACTGAGCCCCATAGTGAGGGTGTAAGTTGGCTACAGCTGTATTCCCAGTGGCTAGAGAAGCTTCTTGCCTGTCTCCCCCAACTGGCAGAATGAAATAAGCACGGAGCCATGGATTCAGCAAACGAAATAAGCTTCCTTTGCATAACATAAACCTATTTGAGAACTGGGCTGAGGTGCTGATGAAGGAGAAAAGATGCAGGTGGACAGATTTAAAGATATGAAAATGAAACGGCAGACATTGTGCTGTTCCGCCTATGAAAGAGGAGAGTTCGTCTGTAAAACAGCGCTAGCAGAGTGGTTGCCATGATCATCTATACAGCACCTCCTTCCAAAACTGCTGTCAGAGCCATAAACGCAGCCGTTAGGTTTGTGCATCTGTTTTTGTATGTCTATCTGATCTCAAATCACACACACATACACATACACTTCCACACAGAGTCTCCCTGCTGGAGGCTGAATCTAAATGAAAGCCATCACGGTGCCTGAGCAACATGCCATCCACACACTTCACACACGCAGCCGCACCCCATTCCCTTTCTATATCCAGCTGAAGGCGAGACACTTCAGGGATTCATAGCAAACAAAGATGAGCTTAGCAGCTGCTGGTGAATAGTTCGGAGAAAGAGAGACTCTCCCACCCTCATCCACCCCCACTGTGGGCTTTCAATCCCAGGCAAAGACACAGGAAGGGAACTGGGTTTTTTTTATGCCAGGAGCTCTGCCCTGTGGCCGATGAAGACAAACAAAAGATAAAAGTGCCTCTGAGCTTATGCCGAGTGCTGCTGGGTTTCTTTCCAAGGTCCTCCAAAGCATCTTGGGCTGAAGTCTCCAAACAGAAGGGGTCACCATCGAGGAAAGCATGAACCGCAGAATATTTTGTTAAAACCTTTATGGAAAGATACAGCATTGAATATTTATCTACAGGAAAAGCTTAGCTCCACATTACGCACAAACGCAGTGTTGCATCCCAACGCCAGAAGGTCTCTTGTTTGTTTGCTTGTCCAAATGCAAAACTCTCCTCATCTGATAACTCCTTGTTCTGAAGGAGTTCTGCCTCCCCAGTCTCGTAAGTGACTGTTTCAAATGCATATTTTGGAAAGAGTTAAACAGAACATAACTGTCATCCATGGGACCCCAATTGACAGACCTGAACAAAGCAGACCAAGAAGGCTGTCAGTCATTACAAGACAACAAAAGCAGTAAGGGGAAAAATAATTTGTACTGGATTTTTAAAAAAAGGTTAAGGGGAAACATGGCAATGTTTTGAGCTGCACAGGATTCTGCTTCCAGCAGTACTTTCTGGTAACAAAGAGTTCTGTGAAGCCCAGAAATGTTTTTCCCAGCCCTTGCCCTATTGGAAATGGAGCACCTCACACTACTGATTGTAACGGAAAGAGATTCCTGTCAGATCAAATCTCCTCTAGCCCCTCTTCACTCTTATTCCCCAAGGTAGCCAACCAGTTGTTTCTGGGACCCCCTTAAGCATGGCATGAAGGCAACGTGCCCTGCCTCACCCTGTCTCTCCAGATATACTGCCTCTATAAATGGAAGATCCATCCCCAACACTCAGAGCTGCTAAGAACTTATAAACTGCTGTGTTACATCAGCCCATCCTCCCTCCCATAGTGACAAACACAACACCTCTGAGAAGCCTCTAAGGAGGATACACACAATCCCTTTTCTGCTGCTGCTTCTCAGCAACCCACCTCCAAGCTGCCCGGGTGCTGAAGGTTCCATAGAAACTGCATGGACTCATAATTTTGCCCTTCTTTAACCAGTGCTGTGAATTGTCTATGATTCAGTGTAGGCACAGAAGCTAACATTAGGACTGGATTCGGCAATCAGCATTATTTTGGTTTTCATTCAAGGAAATATATATACAAAGGTGACCCCTTCTGTTTGCCAACCACAGGCCATTATGCTTTGGAGGAGCCCTGCAAAGTAAGCAAGGAAAGCAAAGAAAGCACTCTGCGTGAGCTCAAAGGCATTTTGATCTTTTGCATTCTGTGCCTTTGTTTTCAATTTGAAGACTTTTTTAAAAAAAAAACACACCCAGAGAAGCATGTTCTTGCTCTTGTGGCCATAAATGCAGACTCAAAAGACTGTACAACCAGCAGCTAGCAAAATCACAGCAGCCACAACCCCCATGGTGTTTGCAATCATCTTTGCACACAGATATCACAAAAGTGAGCTTTACACTGGGCCTCGTGGTGCAAGGCCAGCCCTGAGGCTTCTGATCACGGCTGGAGAGATGCTTCTGGAAGCTGACCAACAAAGGTGACAGGTTTTGTTTTTGGCTTGCAGCGCCTGATAGTCAGAGAGGAATATTAGTAGCCCGAGGAGCTGCATCCTATCAGGTAAGGTTCTTTGGCTGCCCAGCCCAAGGCTATCTGACCTGATTCCCTGCAGCTCTCCAAGGTCTTGGGCAACAGAGAGGTCTTTTTCCCATCCCTAGCTATCTGCATTCTTTTATGGAGAGATGCCAGGAATCAGACCAGGAGTTTTCTGCTTCCAAAAGAGATCACTTACTACCCAGCTGTGGCTTTCCTGCAGCACACAAAACTGCAATGTACAATTCGGATCGTGGGTCCATCGTCCTCGGCGCTGCCCCCATCCCCAGTTTTCAATCTTGGCTCCCCTGGTGTTGCTGAACTACAACTTCCTGGACCCCCTAATGATTGGGGTGATGCTTACCAAGACTTCTAGCTGATAAAGTCCATACAGCATTTGGGAAACCAAATCTGGCAATAGAGGGTCTACACAGTAGGTTACTGAGATTTAGGCTTGTTAAATTTCAGACAGATGTGGGGATTGAACCAGCAAGCTTCTGCATGCAAAAGAGATATTCTACCACAAACCCTCCCTTAAGACAGATACTACAAGAAATCAACTAAGTATTGTCTCCTAACATTAACAGGCAAGAGCTTTGTAGGAGTCCAATAACCACTGGAAATGGCAGGAATAGAACCCAGGACTTTCATTATGTGTAGTGATTCAACCAATTAGCTCCGACCTATCTATCAAATATGGCTTCTATGCATGGAAGTTCTACTTCATTACTACAGATTGTGACTACTTGTAGTCCCTCACTGGGGTTGGAGTAGAGACTCCAACACAAGGTACAACCCCTTCCTCCCACAGATTAGAAGAAGATAAAAATGGATGACAGAAAAACTACCCAGGCTGTAGAAAGCAGCTTTCTGTGTACATGTGTATCTACTTGTGCAGGTATGCGGTATTTTGCTAAAACAAAATTTAAACAATTAAGGAAGACCCAAAGGACTATCTACTATACACCAGACCTATTAACAAAGAGAAATGCCAAGAAGTTTAATAATCCACCAGATTTCTATGCCACACCCACTTGGCTCTTAAGCCCCTCCCTTCCCTGTGTCTTTCATCTTTTTCCCCCCCAGCAGTGTAAGTGCCATGTGTTGAAAGAGAGACACCTACAGTTGTTAAGAAAAAGCAGGACAGCAAATCCCAGCGTAGAGGTGGCCAGAAGGATGAGGCAGATGTTACAGGGGATCATGAAGTATCGGACTACCAAGGAGACCTTGTGCTGGTACATCCGGTCCCGCTCCAAGGAGCCCGGCCCCATAGGATACTGGCAAGCAGTCATGCCGCTGACTGGGGCCCAAGCCCCCACAGGGAGATCCAGGGCAGCGGTCGAAGGGGGCCCAAGGAAGCCCTTCTTTTTCCCAAGATGGCAGCTGGCTAAGTGTTCTCGTGGACCGCCATCCTAAAGAGGAGGTGTAGGTTTTCAGGAGGAAAGATAAGGTGGTGCCCAGTAAGCCATCTCCAATTTGTAATCCAAAACTCAGAGAGGGAAAACTCAAGCCAATGAGAAATGCTGTCCTGTCAAATACTAGGCTTCATTTGGGACAGGACCCTCCCTCCCAAACCAGTCACAGACACCAACGTTCCCACTGTTGCCAACAAGCCATTTCTACCACAGACAAATTCGAACCTACGGAAGAAACTCCAGAATGTCTTCCAGAACCTTTCAAAGACTTTCCTCCTTTTAAATGCTTTCCAGATCCATGGTCAGATCAAATCAAGCAAGCCGGGAGACCATTTGGGTCAACTCCATCCAATGGCATCTTCTTGAAAAAGACTAGGATAATCCTGGCTTCCCGACTGGGCATCCCATGAGACGAGGAGGAAGAGAAGCCTGTCCATGGAGAACAAGGAGGGAGTATGGAAAAGAAAGAGGCAAAGAAGACGCTCTCGAGAGCCAACCGAGTCTCTGAAAAAGTTCTCAAAAGGCGTGGCACTTAAGCATTAAAACATCAACTTGGTCATCGCTGGGTGGTCCTCTGGGGTACTGGAATCAGCTCCTTCGTCGCAGGGGGACCTCTGGCGACAAGGGTGTGTGCACAGAAAAGATGCACACAAAAGCAAGAAAGAAACTTCCCCCTTGCATATAGGCCCCCGAACATCATAGAACTGCTGGATAGCTTAGTGGTTTAGATATCCGGCTGCGAAGCTGGAGTTTTATTCCTCACTGTGCCTCCGTGACAGGGGCTGAATATGACGATCCATAGGGTCCCTTCCAGCTCTGTAATTCTAGGATTATCTGATGAAAGAACTGGTCAAGGGGGCCCAGGACAATCGCTCCCTGGTTCCTTTTCAAAGGGATGCCAAAGTCCGAAGCAGGCGGCGGCAATGGGGAAGGGGGGGCTCAGCTGTAGTTTCCTCGACAGCAGCTGGCGGCAGACCCTTTCAGCTTCTCTGTTTCTTCCCCCTCCAAGCCCCTTCTCCTGGGCGAGAGGCTCCGAGAGAGTGACAGATAACCAAGCTCTTTCCGCCCACCTTGCCTCTGCTGCGCTCAGGGGAAACGTCCTGCCCCCTTCTCATGCCAGTCCTTTCCAGAGAGATGCCACCACTGTCGCCAGTTCCTCACGCTCACAGGCCAACCATGAAGATGATGGAAATAGGCATCAGGGCTGTTTTAAAGAAAAGGTATAGCCATACCACGCCATGCACAAGGAACCAAACTGGAGGTAGCCCCGGAGTCCTGATTCCCGTGCATTGTCAACAGAAGGGTTCCCGGCGTGGAAGGGAATCGCAATCAACCGAGTGTAGGACACACACCCAAGTTTTTAAGACACCCTCTACCCCAATGGCTCTGGGGAGGAGTAGCAAAAACACACACAAAAAGAGGCAAGGGAATTGGATTACGATCCGCTCGCGTTCCTCATCCACGGCTGCTGGTGTGCTCTCCCAAGCCGGCGTCCCTGTTCCCCAGCCACGGAGCGCGGAGGTTCCATCCGTCTATTACTTGGGTCTCCCAAAAATGAAAAAAGGAAAGAAAACACCACGAACGCTCCTCTGGCACCACGGACAGCAAACGGAAGGACAAAGAGTGGATTGGGGGGTGGGTGGGAAGAGAGGAAAAGAAAGCCAAGAAAAGCTGTTTCAAGCTTGCCGGGGTCGTCTCCTTAGTAGAGGCACTCGGCAGTCCATAGGGGGGGTGGAGAGAGAGAGAGAGAGAGATGGAGCAGCCGTAAAAACAAAGGAGAGAGGAGTGTCTCTCTCTCTGTGTGTGTGGCATTGGGGGTGTGTGTCGTATTTTCTGTCTAGATTTCTCTAGGGAGCTGTTCTCATGCAAATATGAAGCCCGGACCCCGTGGCCATCGCTCGCCTTTCAAAGATACCTCCGGAGCCATGGACACCTGTCAGCATCGCCTGGGAGACCCGAGCGAGGGGAAGCACTCCAGTTCGGTTCTTGCCTGCCTCCCTCGGAAAGGCTGAAAGGGAAATTACCCCTTCCCTCCCTCCGACCCACTCTCCCCCACACACACACACACACACACACACACTGCTCCTCCTCCTCCTCCTCTACCACCGCCGCCGCCCTGCCGCCGTCTCGTTTGGGAACTCAAGATGTTGAAAGGGGCGGAGAAGACGGTGTCAAAACTCATTACGGATCTCCGCCGCCACGCCGGGCTTTGCGCCTTTGCGCTCACACCCGGAAAGCCCAGCCTGCGCTCCCGGCAGACGGAGAGCCTCCCCGGCCAGCACCACAGCTGTTTTTGGGGTGGGTGGGGGACTGGAGAGAGGGCAAGCCAGGAAGGAAGGCTGTGGCGGTGGGTTGGGGAAACAGGGAGGTTGTTCAACAGCGCAGGAAGAGAGCGCATGGGCACCGATCGCAAGTCCGGGAGAGAAGAAGATGCAAAAGCAAAACACAAGATCGCTGGAGAAGACATTTCAATCATGCCTCTGTTTCATAAAAGGAGACAGAAACTTTTTTGTGTGTTTCACCGGGACAGCGAAGCAAATCCATCCAAGGGAAGAGATCTAGCAACAAGGATGAGTGATGCTTGACAAAAGATTAAACTTCCATGTTTCAGGGCAGTCTATCTCTGTAAACACAAGTGACTGGAGGAGGAGGAGGGTGGTAGCAACAGGGACACTGAAAAAGGGTAGCCAAGGAAAAGAATGGTTTTGTTGCTGCTTTTTAAAAAATACATATTTTCTTCTCAGCCAACAACTTCTTCTGAGCCCAGATGACCGGCTGTTGAGTCACCGACTGGACTTCCTGTACCCACCTGCCAGAGACCAAGCAAGTAGACATCTGCTTCCTAACAGCACTTCACTCCTCTAAAAGGAGAAGAATCTTCTCCCGGGAGACGATTAAGGAGATGGGTGGATGGGTCTGCTCCATTTGTGATCAGAACATAACTACTGCTTCTCCACCCTTCGGAAAAACCTTCAGGTGTGCAGACTGGAGGTTCAGGAGGGTACAGCCATGAGAAGTCTAAGAGATGCCTTCAAAACTGGTTGTTTCAGAGCTGCGAGGCTAAAATAGGGAAGGGGGCTCACGAGGAAGTATTCCCAGGGTAACTACCCCTGTGTTTGCAAGACTAATAAGAATTAATTGGGATAAGCTTTTGCTGATAGCAATGCAAGTCTTCAGAAACTTAGAGGATAACCTTGGTAGGTAGGTATTTATACACAGACAAGAAGGGGAGTAAAATATAGTCCACATGGAAAAATACACAAGGTTCTTTACAAAAATCATCAAGGGTTATTTAACAGTCATACATTGATCTTAACGGTGATCGTTAGGAATCCTACATCAGCTATTGGTGAGTAAAACTGGACCTGAATTTGTACTTCTGGGGCTCTCATTCCATGCATCGGACGATGTGGTCTTCAAAAGTACCCCAAAACTTATAGCAGAGTACTTCCATTAAGTACACTAGAGTGGTCGCAAGACCAGATGGGCAGGATATAAATCAAATAAATAAATAAATTAAGAAGCTACATGACATTTTGGTTGCTTCCAGCAAAAAGGACTTTGTGGAAAAGTTTCCTTCAAAGTTGGAATCTTCTTTGTCTTTTTTTTCTCCCAAATCTTGCTCCAGTTCATCAAAGTCCTTACAACAAAGCGGACCCTCTATGAGAGATAGATTTCACTGATTCAATTCAGTCTGATTTAATTTCCCCAATTAACACCTCTTAACACTTTGACAGAGCCCTAAGGAGAAAAGGGTGTCCTAGAAGGGCAGCCTGCCATTATCCTGCTGCCTAAGCTTAGATGTGTTGTGAACATACACACACACACACCACAAGCTGTGGCACTAGCAGCATTCCTCTGCAGATGACACTTCCAATTTCAGAGTCAGTCACTCTCTCTGTTTCTTTCTCCCTCTCTGTGGATCTCTTCTTGGAGACACCTAACCCAGAAGTTTTAAATCTCCCAATGCTGCAGATTGAAGCTGGTCCCTTTGCATCCAAAATACATCCCCTGTTGCTCAGTCGCACCCACTTGTATGCCAAACCAGGGCGTGTTTTGCACCACAGAAGGGCATATTATAATCAGATGTTTATTTATTTTCAAACTAAACTAGAAGAATAAATATTTTATATGCTGTTGAGGCAAAGAGTTACTTCTTAAAACTCTAATTATAACAGTGACTGAACTGCCCTTTTTTCAGCCTTGGAATTCTGACAGTGGCTAACTACTTTTTAAAATACAACTTGGCCAGCTCTGCCCTCATATGCATTCCCAGTGCTCTGGAAGGCACAGCATTTTCACAGCGGATGAATCAACACAGAAAAAAGTTGAAAGCTGTGAAGTTTGAATGACTCACAGGCAAGTTATTCAGGTGAGGACACATTTGTACATCACAAAAACATTATGAAGCTACCTTCTGTAAGGTTAGGCTGTTTCTCCATCTAGGCTAGCTTTGTTGGCACGAACTGGTAATATATCTCTTCTTTCTTAGGCAGAGAAGGATCTCTCCCACCACCTGCTACTGGATCCTTTTACCTAAACGATTCATTATTTATAATAACCTACTTCCAAACTCGGGACAAAACGACTGGGACCAAAGAAGAATCCAGTCCACTCCAGCCATGAATCCAGCCAGAAAGAAAAATATTAAGCATACTTTCTCATTTACCAGAGAGGAAAAAAAGGTAGAGTGCAGGTTAAGTGATATCTAAGTATGGCCTGGGAGTTTCGCCTGCTTGAAGGCCAGTTCTAGTTTAGGAAGGCAGGATACTTGCTTGTCCATGTGAGTGCAGGACTGTCTAAGGCAGTGGTTCTTAACCTTGGGTTACTCGGGTGTTTTTGAACTGCAACTCCCAGAAACCCCAGCCAGCACAGCTGGTGGTGAAGGCTTCTGGGAGTTGCAGTCCAAAAACACCTGAGTAACCCAAGGTCTAAGGAGACTGAAAGTGGCTCTCCAGGATCTCATCCAGACATAAGGATATCTTCTATTGCCTGCTAGCTGACACTTCCCCCCCCTCTCAAAAGATCTGAAGGACCGATTTTGAGATCTTTTGCAAACAAAAGAAGGGCTATAAACGTGAGAGGCTCTGTCTTTCCAGAATCTTATTTTGGAAGCAGATTCCCATTCACTGCCACCAGAGCAAACATCTCTATTCACTTTTCACCAGAGAAAACCATTAATCCTGGCCACGAGAATGGATCAAAGCCTCAAACTAAGCCCCATGAATGCCTCTCAATGCCACTTTTGTATATGCCTCACAGGCAGATCTTTGCTCAGGTGGACAGGCAAGAGGTTCTAGCGCCAAGGTGGGGACCTGCTGCCTGTCGGTCGCATCTGCCCGGCTTCCAGGCATTTGACCATTCCTTAGTAGACTGTATCACTCTGGGCTAGATGAAAAGCCTCTTTCAATACAGCTGCTCATACTCCACATTTCCCTCTGCTGACCATCGCTGCAAACGGCAAGCCTCATATTCCTGCCTCTTTCTGCCTCCTTAAAAAGATAAATAAACGTATAAAATGACATTGTTCCACAGTCCAAGATGGGAGCTTTCCCAAACTTTGCTGAAATTAATAGGAACAGACTTGGGATGCTCCTGTGCAAAACGCCGGAGGACGTCTTAGAATTCTCTGCAGCCACAGAAGTCACCACTCACTCCAATGGTTTGATGAGGGGATTTTTAAACGTATTCCTGGAAAAGGAGAAGTGGCCAAGCATGCTAACTGAACAGAGCTTCCATCTTCAGAGGCAGCGTGTCCACCAGGCACCGGTCACGAGCAGGGGAAGAGAGCCTGAGTTCTGTGAATTTTGTCA